TAACTGGACATTATGTGGTCATCGGTTCTTTAATTGACTACATGGGCTAATAGTTGCTTTCTATTTAAGTTTCAAGGATTTAACTTTGATGTTCCTACCTCCTCCCTGTTAAACGGTGACTCCACTCACGGACACGCTTTAGACAAGCGTGGCTCGAATTACGCCATGGTAAGCATGTTTTCTGTGGGATGTTTACCACTTATATTTAATATGCCCAGTATATGGGCCAATTTCAACCAGACACAAAGCGGCTTTAAGAGCGCGTTCATGCTTTGAGATTAAGCAGATGTGAGTCCCAGCCCTGCCGCTGACAGCTGCGGGATTGTGGGCATGCTACTCGGTCTTTCTCAGCCTCGATTTTTTTCAGGGAAGATAATTTTATGCAAGGATTTTCAGTGAAGAACCACAACACGACATAAAATGCTTCACAATATAACATCCCCAAATACTAGTTTCATCTTCTCCTTCCTCCCTCTAATAGAAAAATCTGCCTCCTCGGCTTAAATTGAAACACTCCATCTTTTCTTACTATTTCCACATTCCTGCTGACCATGAGGTATGGGCATGACGAACGTAAACGTCCTTGTAAAAGCATGGTGTGGTCCTGGCAGGAATGAAGCCTGCCCTGTGGAGCATCAGGAGGGAAGACTGTTGTTAGCAAATAGGAAGGTCTGTCTTCCTGGCCTGGTGAACCCAACCCAGAAAAGCAGTCAAGTCAAGTCTGGAAATGTCATGTGACCCATATGAATATTTCATGTGTCCCAAAGCCCAAATGATTAAGAGGTTGGGATCAGCTGAAGAAATGTGTTGGCTCCCCCTACCCCATGATTTCTGCTTTATTGACATTGAACTTGCCTATAAAAGGTCTAAGCACAGCCGAGGGCAGTCCTTGCAACTCAGTAGTGAAAGAAAGCATCTTCCTCCAATGAGGGGTGTTATGGTATGGATAAGAGGTGTCGCCCCACAAAAGCTCATGATAGGCAATGCAGCAATATTCAGAGGTGAAATGATTAGATTCTGAGAGTTGTAAACCTAACCAGAGGACTAGGCCACTGGATGGATTAATAATTTGAATGGATTACTAGGTGGTGACTGGAGGCAGGTGGGGCATGGCTGGAGGAGGTAGGTCAGGGAACCTGCCCCTGGGGATTATATATCTTGTCCCTGACTCTTTTCTCTCTCTGCTTCCTGGCTGCCCTGAGCTGGGTAACTTTTCTCCACCACGATGTTCTGCCCCAACCCAGAGTAATGGAGTCGGCTGACCATGGACCAAGACCTCTGGAACAGTGAGCTCAAAATAAACTTTTTCCTCCTCTAAGTTGCTCTTTTTCTTTTGGTACTAGAGATTGAACCCTGGGGCACTTGACCCCTGAGCCACATCCCCAGCCCTTTTCTTTAATATTTTATTAGAGACACAGTCTCGATGAATTGCTCAAGGCCTCACTAAGTTGCCGAGGCTGGCTTTGAACTTGCGATCCTCTTGCCTTAGCCTCCCAAGTTGCTGGGATTACAGGTGTGTGCCACTCACCTGGCCTAAATATTTTGGTCACAGTGACATCAAAACTGATTAACACAAGGGGCTCCATCACAAGGGCCAGCCACAGTCTTCCCCCGGGGCTCTGCCATGTCCACCCCCTGGGATATGAGTGGGTCTCCTGCCAGCCCTCTCTGACAGGGCTCATAACTTCTTCAGCTTCCACTCATCCCCCGCAAACTCAATAAAGCAACCCCCTGCCTCACAACATCTTCTCTGTGAAGCGGCTGGCTGGGTCAGGTTCCCACTTTGCTGGAGCCAGATCAACTCCTGATGGTTAGGATTCCTGGTTTTTTTAAACCTGGTTGTTATCTTCCATAGATAAGTCCTCTCCTCCTGCTACTGGTTTCAGTTTCTCCCCGCCTTTCCCATCACCACATCTGAAAGCCCAGCTCCGAGAGCCAGGAACACATGGTGTACCAAATGCAAATGTTCCCAAATCCAGCTGGGCCTTGGCAACCCCTGCAATTTTCCTTCATTTATTTTTGGGACAACCCGATGGTCAAAAACCAAAGTGGCATAAATCCCCTATTTCTTAGAAGGGAGAAGGAGGAAAGGTTTATTGTTGCTGTGAGAACACCAGTAATAACAGAAGCAACCTCTCCATTTACCAGGCTGTGCTCTGGGACAGGAGCCACACTGAGGGGCAAAGCAGCTTCATTTCCAAATGCCCTGCCTAGTGGGCATTTCCCGAGACTTCAAGAGCTGTGGCCCCTGCTTCTGTCCTGCTTCCAAAAACCACTCCAGTCACATAGCTTTTGTAGAACCCTGTCTTGCCAGGCAGAGTCCAAGAAGCTAGTCATTGGAACTCCCAGCCCAGAAAATGCTCGTGTCTACCATATTGGGTTGACTCAGGAGTAAGTGTGACTAGAAACCAATTAGGCTCTGCACTGTCCCCATGACTCACACAGGAGCTGGAGACACAATGGCCACTTCAACTCCCCAGGCACACCCAGTGCCAGGAGGTGGCTTATTAGTGCCTTTCTCCTTAGAGAAAAGTGCTAAGGCTGGGGAGGCTGGGTGAAGGGTGCTCAGGACTTCCCTGTACATTTCTTTTCAATTTCCTGTGAACCTTTAATTATTCCAAAACACAAAGTTCATACAAAGCAAAACAAAATCAAGCCCAACTCAAGAGCCCTTATGCCCTCCACTTCTGTGACTGTCCTGTGGGAATCGGACCTGCGTGTGATTGCTCTTCTTATTTTAGATCTGCTAACCCTCAACACTCTTCATATAGTCTCAACTTCCTTCTCTATGTAGCTCATCAGTAGGAAACAGCGGGGCAGAGACACGGGAAAGTCTGGGTGTGGCCTCTAAGTAAGGGGTCACCTGTAAGGGGCTGGAGCTCACATTGGATTAAGGATTTGAAATTAGGCTACTGGACTTCAAAACTAATCTGTCACTTATTACAGTTTATTCATTAACTTATTTTGCAAGACTGGGGATCGAAACTCCAAGAGTCTTCTACCACTGATCTATATACTCCCAGCCACTTTTATTTTTCATTTTGAGACAATTATCTCATCAAATTGCTCAGGCTGGCCTGAATTTCTGATCCTCCTGCCTCAATGTCTCAGGTAGTTGGTATTACAGGTGTGTGCCACCAAGCACAGCTGTCACTTGCTATTAACAAGATCTCAAGTAAGGTATTTACTCTTGTGTCTCAGTTTTCTTTCTTTCTTTTTTTGAGCTAGAGTCTTTCTAAGTTGCTGAGGCTGGCTTTGAGCTTTCAATCCTCCTGCCTCAGCCTCTGGAGCAGCTGGGATTATAGGCATGTGCCACCATGTCCTGCACATTTTTATTTTCTTAAGAAAAGGAAATCTTAGCCAGAGCCTCTGAGGAAACATTATCTTCCAAACACACACACACACACACACCACACACACACACACACACACACAAAATCAAAAAGCTTTCCCAGAGTTTAGTGTCAGTCTAACAATAACACTAACACCAATCCTACAAGATAATCTTCTGCCTATTAAATCCTCAGTATGCTGTGGATTTTTAAAAAGAGAAAATAAATATTTAAAATCTTGGGCTGAGGTTGTGGCTCAGCGGTAGAGCACTCGCCTAGCATGTGTGCGGCCCGGGTTCGATCCTCAGCACCCCATAAAAATAAATAAATAAAATAAAGATATTGTGTTCAACTACAACTAAACAATAAATATTTTAAAAAAATATTTAAAATCTTAGCTGGGTACCGTGGTACATGCCTACAGTCCCAGCCACTCAGCAAGAGGCTGAGGCTAGGAGGATCACTTAAGCCCAGGATCCTGGCAACATAGGAGGACTCCACCTCAAAAACAAATAAAAAGTTGTGGCTCAGTGGTAGAGCACTTGCCTAGCATGTGTGATTTTGAGCACCACATATAAATAAATGAATAAAATAAAAGTCCATCAACATCTAAAAATAATTTTAAAAAACAAGAAAAAAATAAAAAAATAAAAAAACCTCACGATCTTACAATAGAAATGTTTTACTGCCATTTCATCATATTCTCTCTGTTTGTATATAACATGTTATTAGCAGAAAAACATTAAGTCAAAATGGATTTGGGGGGAACAATGGGGACAGAACCCAGAGCCTCGAGCATGCTAAGCATTCACTCTACCACTGAGCAACACCCCATCCCATGGGGGATACTCTTCATCTCCAGTGATATCAGTGTCACCCTTGGCATGGATTCTGTGACTCTTGGAACCTGTCATAAGCATGCCCATCAGAGTGAAAAAGGGTTTGATTACAACTTGACCCGTGTCTACTCTCAGGAGCAGAGACCACCCCACATGTTCCATTCAAGAATACAGCTGGGGGGCTGGGATTGTAGCCCAGTGGTAGAGCACATGCCTAGCACATGTGAGGCACTGGGTTCAATCCTCAGCTCCACATAAAATAAAGGGATTGTGTTCACCTATAACTAAAAAAAAAAAAAAAAAAAAATTAAAGAATACAGCATGCTCACTGAAAGGGTGTGAAGGGCACTTTGGATGGAGAAGCCCTTCTTGGTTTGATGCCTTTTGCTGGAAACCAGTCTGTCACCACCCAGTTCTATCCATGGATTAACAGCTCCAAAGAACAACACGCTTCTCTAAGTCATCCTGCAAGGTGACCCCAAAGTGTGACTTATCACATCAACCAGGGTTCCTTAGCCTCCAAAGTTGGAGGGCAGCTTTGCCTGCTGCTCTAAGGATTCCTGCTCACACATAATCCTGAGCATGCTCTAAACTTGAGCTCTGCCTCTGGCCAAGTCATGGCCCCTGCAGAGCCTGCCAGACCCGAGGCTTGCCTGTCCTGGGGTGGGCAGTGGGAGCAGGGATGGGGACTATTTTCCACCTGGAAGAAGATCTCTGTGATTCTGCTACTAATTCAGGGCCTGTAACCTTGACCGGGTTGGGCGTTCCTGTAACTCTCCATGTCTGGTATAAAAGGTGGAGACCCTGAGGTTTCAGGACCAGGCCGTGACCCCTGTGAGCCCCGGAGCTGAGGAGACAGAGCAGATTCATCTCAAAGGTAAAGCTGTGGAACCTGAGTGTGCCTGGGATGAGGTTCATTTTACATGTCTACAGGGAAAGGAAATGGACCTATTCCTTGTAAACCTGGCTTTTTTCAGCTACGGGGGTTCATCTTTCCCTTTGAAACTCCTTCCTTGTATCTTCTTGGGAATGACTTAGAAATCTTAATAAGGCTTTTCCATATTTAATTTACACAATTAAATGATGCATTCAAATCAACTTAAACTTCGAGAAAGCCAGAAGTGAGTACCAGCATTCACACGAGACTCAGATAAGATGAGATATGGTAAACAAAAACAGAACATATTGACTGAGAGATGCCAAAACCACAGAGAAGGGACCCCCTCCCAAATGTCCCATGGAGCCACTCCACGGCCTTCTCCCAAGACCAGTGCATGGGAGGGTGCACTTCAGATTTGGTCTGAATAACTCTGAAGCTGAACTTCCTAAACTGTAACACGCACATGAATCATCTGGGGATCAGGATGAAATGCTGTGTGTGTGTGTGTGTGTGTGTGTGTGTTGCCTTAAGCATGCCAGGCAAGCCCTCTAGCTACATCCCAACCCCCAAAATGCATATTTTTATTCAGACTTTGAGCTTGGTAAATTCCACCCTCGTACCTACTCCTGGGTGATCCTGTTGCTGCTGGTTCATGGGACAGTAAGTAGTAAGGCTTGGTGGTTTTCGATGACAGTAAATCATCTTTGAGACTTCAGTGACTGAATCTCATTGAATCAGTAAAAAGTCAAAATAAATACATTTGACTAAAAGCTTTTTCTGTTCTATGTTTTAAAATTTTTGTTTTTATATTAACACATAGTTTTTAAAAATGGCCTGTGTGTGCTCATTTCAATGGATTTTACATACATGCAGTTTGTGGGCTTAACTAGAATCTCAATCAGAATACAGAATGGTTGATTTCCTCATCTCCCTGGCCCCAGGCTGCATGCCAGTACTCCACCACTGAGTCACATCCCAGCACCAATACTGTGTTTAAAGGTCAGTTTCTGAGTGCTCCTTGCTAAGGAGCACAATGTTAAGTTTTTGTGTATTGATTTCACATCCTGTATCCTTGCTAAATTAGCTCACTAGCTCCAGGAAAGTTTTGTATGGTTTGTTCAGTGTGCACTTGAATCCAAATTCTGCTTTCATTGGGTGAGCATTCTGTACATCACACTTGGCTCTAGGTAGTTAATGGTGGTTTGGGGTTTTGTTTTTTCCAGTACAGGGAATTGAACCCAAGGCACTTTACCACTGAACCACATCCCCAGCCCCCCTCCCCCCCTTTTTTTTTTCATGTTTTATGTAGATACAGGGTCTCGCTGAGTTGCTTAGGGACTCACTAAGTTGCTGAGGCTGGCTTTGAACTCATGATCTTCCTGCCTCAGCCTCCCAAGCAGCTGGGATTAAAGCGCCACGATGTCCAGATGTTCAGTTTTTTGTTTGTTTGTTTGTTTGTTTTAATCTGTGATTTCCCCTCGACTATGTTTTCTCTACTAGTTCTTTTGATTATCAAGAGAGGAGAAAAGGGGCTGGGGATGTGGCTCAAGCGGTAGCGCGCTCGCCTGGTATGCGTGCGGCCCGGGTTCGATCCTCAGCACCACATACCAACAAAGATGTTGTGTCCGCCGAGAACTAAGAAATAAATAAATAAATATTAAAAAAAAAAAAAAGAAAGAGGCGAAAAGAAGTCTCCAATAGTTCCTGTGGATTTGTATTTCTCCTCCTTCCAGGTCCATTCGTTTTTGTTCCTGCATTTTGAAGGTTGAGCAGTTTTCAATGCTCGGTTATTTTTTCTCAATTTTCAGGAGTTTGACTATGATATGTCTGGTTATAGATTTTCTTTCTATTGATTCTATTTGGAATTGGCTCAACTTGTTGACTCTACAGATCAATGATTTTTGGTTTTTTGCCAAATTTGGGAAGTTTTGACTATTATTTCTTCAAACATAATTTCCTGCACCCCTCAATCCTTCTCCTTTCCAATTTTCTGCACGCCCCTTTTTCAGTCTTTGGCTGGAAATCTGGGACTCTGGTGACCCAGTTCCAGCGTGCGCTTGCTGTGGCCGCCACACTCACTTGGGATCCTTGAAGCTTCTAAGGTGAGGAGAGTCGGGAGGTTCGCTGTCCGCTCTTAGGACGCAGCGCCCCCTAGTGGAGAGCAAGTGTTTCTGCCCTCAGGCTTTGGTCTGCGGACCTCATTCGTATTCAGTTCTTTTCAGTGTTGCAACAAATGTTTTCTCCCATTCTCTGAGCATTAGAGGTCTACCCTCCCCAGAATCAGACAGCTGCTTGGAGCTCTCTTTGCCCACATTCCATTTCTGGGTTTCGGTTTGCCTTGAGTCTTTTTAAAAAATATCTTATTTTTAAAATTTTTATTGGTGCATTACAGTTAGACAGAATAGGTTCAATTGTTACATATTCATACATGCACATGATATAATTTGGTTAATTTAATTCCAAATTATCTTCCCTTTCCCTTCCTTCCTCCCTCTCCTCCCCCTTCCCCTTCCTCTACTGCTCTCCCTTCTATGTGCATGTGACCTCCCCCCCCCATTTTATTTATTTTTTCTTGATAGCTTCCACATAAAGAAAACACATGACCCTTGACCTTCTCAGTTTGGCTTATTTTGCTTAACATAATGATCTTAAGTTCCTTCCATTTTCCGGCAAATAACATCATTTCATTCTTCTTTATGGCTGAATAAAACTCCATGTGTATATATTCCATATTTTCTTTATCTATGTTGACAGACACTTAGGCTGGTTTTGTAGTTTGGCTGTTGTGAATTGTGCTGCTGTAAACTTGGGTATGCATGTCTGACTATAAAAAAACAAGGAACGGAATAGCTGGGTCATAAGGTGGTTCCATTCCCAATATTTTGAGGAACCTCCATACTGATTTCCAGAGTATTCTAATTTAAAATCGCACCAACAACGCATAAGTGTTCTTTTCCTCCATATTCTCATCAGCACGTACTATTTATTTTTGAAAATAGTTTTTAGTCATTAAATGGACTTTTATTTTATTTATATGCGGTGCTGAGAATCAAACCTAGTGCTTCATCCATGATAGGAAAGTGCTCTATCACTGCACTACAACCCCAGCCCTTACTATTTATATTCTTTTTTTTTTTTTTTTTTGCACCAGGGATTGAATTCAGGGGCATTCAACTACTGAGCCACATCCCCAGCCCTATTTTGTATTTTATTTAGAGACAGGGTCTCACTGAGTTGCTTAGCACCTCACTTTTGCTGAGGCTGGCTTTGAACTCATGATCCTCTTGCCTCAGCCTTCGGAGCTGTTGAGATTACAGTTATGTTCCACTGGGCTAGGCCCTTACTATTTATATTCTTGATGCTATCATCAAATTTCATCATCCACTGGAGTGAGATGACATTTCAGTGTAGTTTTTTGTTGTTGTTGTTTGTTTTTTTGGAGGGGTACCAGGGATTGAACTCAGGGGCACTTGACCACTGAGCCACATCCCCATCCCAATTTTGTATTTTATTAGAGACAGGGTCTCACTGAGTTGCTTGGCGCCTTGCTATTGCTGAAGCTGGCTTTGAACTTCAGATCCTCTTGCCTCAGTCTCTCCAGCCGCTGGGATTACAGGCGTGGGCCACCATGCCCAGGCTTCAGGGTAGTTTTGATAGTTTTGATTTGTGTTTCCCTGAGTGCTAAGGACATTGACAATATTTTCATGTATTTGTTGGACATTTTGAAAATTGTCTGTTTAGTTCATTAGCCTGTTTATTGATTAGGGTACCAGGTTGCCTTGAGACTCAGCTAAGGATAACAGAGAAAAAAAATGGAAAGCTCAGCATCACTCAATAGTGACTGAGACTCTGATCCTCTTCCCCAGTCCACTTCCTACTGTCCCTATTAGTGCCCTCACAGGGCTGCAGCATGTGCTCTGTGCAGACTTGGGAGCTGCGGTATGTGTTCCTTCCACCTAACCCAGAAATGGAACTCTTCCCTTCAACTTAAGTTATGATCATAAAGAAAAATTCAAAAAGTGATTAAACTTTTAAACTTTTTTTAAAAATCCTGAAAAATAGTCAGGCACAAGCCTGTAATTCCAGTGACTCAGAAGTCTGGTGCAAGAGGATCCTGAGTTCAAGGCCAGCCTCAGAAACTTAATGAGGTCTAAGCAACTAACGAGACCCTGTCTCAAAATAAAAAATAAAAAAAGGGCTGAGGATGCGACTCAATGGTTAAGCGCCCCTGGGTTCAATCCCCAGTACCAAAATAAATAAATAAATAAATAAATAAATAAATAAATAAAAAGTGGGGAAAATAATCACAAAATAGTTGCTTTCATGAGGTGCTGTCTATGCATGAAGCACGTTGGCAGCTATGCACCTTTTGCTGGTCTCAAAGGAGCCACTCTGGCCAAAAAGTCTGAGAATGATCAGTGTAAGCCAAAACTCTTTAAAAAAAAATATCCAATTCCTTAATTTGACTTTAATGCTCTATGTAACCTGAGACTTGAGAAATGAAACTGCTGGCACAGCATTGGGCCTCAAGAGGGACAAACGTTCCTTTGTCTTGTTTGGCTCACTAAACTTTAGTGGGACCCTCACGCGTCATAGATGCCTCACAGATGGTCAAAGTCCAACAAGTTTTGTTGAGCTGAATTAATGTGACTGTTTAATCATTAATTGATTTGGGGACATGAAGTTCATAATTCTCATTGAGGTTAACACTGATTCTCCTGACACAGCTGCCGCCTGGTAGATGGTGTTCTTGGCTAAAGAGGTCCAAGGAGTTAGAACTATTTATCTAGGATAATCCCCTGTTTCCAAAGGGCTTTCCAATGACAGTCTCCTCATCACTTCTGCAAGGTGGAGCAGTGGTCCCCATCCTGGAGACCATTCTCACAGAAACACACGTTCCCTGTGGAGGAATGAGCGGGCTGAACCCTCATGAGGAGATGCTGACGGAATCTCCCAGGACGTGAGAGAGTCGGGGATCTTGGATGAATCTCTAGTCCAAAGACAGAAGAATTTTTTTTTCTACCTTTATGGAGGCATAGTTTAAGGGTAATAAAACTCCCTCTTTTTAAGTGCACAGTCTGAGAATTTTTGGAGAATGCAGACATGTATGTAATCATCATTACAAACAAGATCCAGGACATGTCCATCACCTTAAGAAGTGCCCCAGGCCACTCTGAGGTCAGTCTCTTCCCCCATCCCTACCCCAAATGAGCCCATGTCTGCTTCTGTGTCTGGCCCAGCAGGTCCCTCAGGCCTTGCCCAGGCCATTCCGGCTCCTGGTTACTCTACTCCCTTGGTCCACTTGTCCTTCCCCTAAAAAGTCCTGAAACCTCTCAGACCAAGTCAGGGACTTTCCTCATGCGCCCCGACCCCAGCAGCTATCCCACAAAGTTCCAGTGCCTGTGACAAGTCTGTATCTACTTCGTTCTCCATGATACCTAAAGTCACTGGAGGGGAGACCCTGCCTCATCCCAGAGTCAGCCCTTGAGGATGCGGAGGAGAGTGGCTCTAGATATCTTTAGTATTTTCTTTCTGCCTTCTTTTTTATGATTTTCCAAAAGTGAATTTCTAAAGTTGACATTACTTTTGTTTCCTGGAAGCTATAAAATTGATAACAGCAGGTGCTACAGTTCTGCTCATAATGAGGACCATGGGTGGGTAGGGAGGAGAAAGGAAGACAAGGTATTTGTCTAAAAATGAAATGTGTGTTTTCTTGGAGAAGATCTCACTTATTTTCACCATCGTGTCACCAGAATTTTCTAGCAAAACAACTGGTTAGGTGGTCACGTGACCTAGTAGAGGGAGGTAGAGAGGGATGTCAACCTTCAGCCCAGGGAGAACCCTGCTATTCCTTGGAAAGACACACTTCTTCCTTCTTCTACACATGGGACACATCCCAATGTCCTGGCATAGCGGGGCTCACCTTGTAAAGGACACAGGGATAAAAGCTCTTACCAAATGCTCTTTCTGGGCATGGCCCGCGGCAGGATTGTTAAACCTAGATCTCTGCCCTGTCATCTAAGGATTACTAAGTGGTGACCAACAGGCCAGGGGATAGAGATAAATGACTCTTGGTCACGTACCCAAGAAGATGAACACTCACTATTATGGATGAATAGGGAAAATTCATGCTAATTTGCGGTGTCAATGTTTTCAATTCACTTTGGCTGGTGATGTCCCTAAGCCAGACAATGGTCTGAGATAATCAAAGGGCCAGGACCAAGTTCTTTAATCATAGGTTGAGCATCCCTGATTTAAAATCCCAGCTCCAAAATGCTCCAAAATCCAAAGCTTTTTGAGTGCTTACAGGATACCACAAGTGGAAGATTCCATACCTTGAAATTTTGTTTCATGCACAAATTTATTTAAAATATTATATAAAATTACCTTCAAGCTATGTGTATAAGGTATATTTGAAACATAAATGAACGTCATGTTTTGACTCCGGTCTTAGTCCCCCCAAATATTCTATTATGTATTTGCAAAGATTCCCAAATCCACCCCCGACCCCTGCAAAAAAAATCCAAAATCCAAAACACTTCTGGTTCCAAACATTTTGGATGAGGGATAGTCAACCCCTCTATTTATTCAGAATTTTATAAATTGCAAACTTTTCACATTTGTCATCAAATATGAATTTGAGAGAAATTTTAAAGATAAGTAACTTGGTGCCCAAAGAATTTTTGTAATGAGTACAAGGTACAAGGTCGGTAGGGACACAGGACTGGAGAGACATCTAGCTTCAAACCCGTCTCTCCTCCTCCCCTGTTCCACTGTCCTGGTCACTCAGAAAACCATACTTCCCCAATGAGCTACATTCCCAGGTCTTTTATCTTATTTATTTATTTAGTTATTTACTTATTTCATTATTTATTTAGTTATTTATTTATTTATTTATTTATTTATCTATCTATCTATTTACTTTTGAGACTAGGCTTGCCAAGATGCCAAGGCCGACCTTGAACTTGCACTTCCTGCCTCAGCCCCTTGAATCATTGGTATTACAGGCATGCACCACCATGCCTGGCTTCAGTCCCTGGTTTTTGATCTGTCTGCTGAACTCACTGAGTCCTGGTACTTGGGCAAAGTTTCTTTGAGAGCATTTTGATCATTTGACATATATAATTCCACATGCAAGCACTGGCACGTGTACAAATGGTCACATGTGTGTGCATGCAGGTGCAGCTCAAAGCAGCTTGCTCTGGGTGTGTTAGACATTGGGGCCCCTGTAGTAAAGGACTTGAAAACTTTCAAAAGTATACAGCCTGCCCTTGCCAGTTCTCATTGGGACCCCCCAAGAAGTTTCTGTAATTCCTCAAATGTCCCCCATGATGAGGAAGGTCCTGTCCATCTCACCAGGATGCTGCCATGGCAGAGGGGTCCAAGGTGCACAAATTAGTGGCACACACACCTGCCAATAAACAGCTGAGGAATGATTCTTCCTGAAGGAGGAAGGAAGGACAGAGGTGTTTGCCGATGACCTGTTCCTGGCCCACCTGTTCAGGTATGGGCCACCTTCCACTTGCATCGACGTCTCAGGTATCCTGACAACAAGAACAGGGAGTGGTGAGCCGAGCCTTGTCATGCCCCTCACAGAGGTCCTGTGGCTGGCCAGGGTCTCCCTGGTGGAAATCGTGGGTCTGAATTATCACGGGCTTCTGTACCCAGGAGAGCCGAGGGCTCCTGTTTCACAGGGTTTGGCTGCTCTTTTCTTTTCCAGGGGATGAACAATCAGTACGCCCGCCGCCGGGAGGTCTTCTGCGGGAACACCTGCCACGATCTCAAGCGCTTTTGGGAAAGAGAGATTGGCAAACAGACCTACTACAGGGAGTCGGAGGAATACCGGCTGGGAAGGAGCGCACTGAGAAAGTAGGAGGCCTGGTTGTCTTTTTTTCTTTTTGGTACAGAGGAGTGAATCCAGGGGTGCTTAACCACTCAGCCACATCCCCAGCCCTATTTTTTTTTTTTTTTGTATTTTATTTAGAGACAGGGTCTCACTGAGTTGCCTAGGGCCTCACTAAATTGCTGAGACTGGCTTTGAACTCACGATCCTCCTGCCTCAGCCTCCCGATCGGCTGGGATTACAGGCCAACGCCACCACACCTGGCTGTTTGTCTATTTTTAAAAAATTAATTGGTCTTTCTTAAAAGAGGCTTTCTTTTTAGATCAATTCTATGCTCTCAGCCAAATTAAGCAAAAAAAAAAAAAAAAAAAAAAATTCAAAGGGTTTCCATGTAGCCCCTGCTGCCCCCAACACACAACTGCCCTACTATCAACATCTGCAGCATCTGCAGGGGACCACCCGAGTGACAATCCTCAACTCTTCGTTGACTCCTCATTATCACTTTATTAGTTTGTAAAAGCAAAAATCGATTTCTCCAGAATGCCAGATGGGCATTCCAGAGAATGTAATTATTTACATTTTCCATAGATGTGGTCCTTTGATACCGAAAATTAAAGAAACTCTCTCCTTTGTCGCCGTTACACTGTGGGAGCTGAGATGACACATGTGAGATGACACGTGTCTATGAAAAAACGATCCCACAAAGGAAACGGATCCTCATTCCCAGCGTTATCTGAGTGGCGACACCGGAGGGTGCAGTTCCTAGAATACGGCTGGCAGGGGCTAGGGGTCCCCAGTGACATGCAGACCAGGGCAGGTCACCGTGAATCTGCACGCTCACTGCCCTCAGGCATGTTATGGGAAGCCCCACAGGCTGCAGAGGGGGACCTGGTTCTCTGTCTCCTCAAAGGGAACAGCTCCACCAACTGCTCCACCAACTGTATTTGCTGAGGCTCTTGCTTGCTGGTAGTATAGATGGTGGGACCGTGTGCTGGCCATGTGACGGGCCCTTGACTGCACAGTTGCTAGGCTGGGAACATGCACCAATTCACGTGTTAACCTCACTGTCGCTCTCCAGCCCCAGCCCTCCAGGGGAATCCGCCTTCTCCTCAGAGACACCTGCTCAGCCTTAACCCCCGACACCATCCTATCTGCTCTAGTGCAGGTTAGGGCATCTCACCCCGACACCCCTGGAGAAACTGAGTTGGTGTCAATCATTCCTTCATTCCTGTCATCTTTCCCCCAGGCCAGTCCACTCAGTGAGGCTGCCATGAATCCTACACTTGAGTGTGTCCTCAAATGGAGTGAGACTGGCCAGAGGACAATGCAGAAACCAAAGGCTCCCAGCCAGGCACAAACTTGGGGTGAACGAAATTGGCAGTTTGTTTAAACAAATTGTACAGTTTGTTACAGCATTAAAAATAATGCAGCAGCCGGGCACCGTAGCACACGCCTATAATCCCAGCAACTCAGGAAGCTGAGGCAGGAGGATCATGAGTTCAAAGCCAGCCTCAGCAATTTAGCGAGGCACCTAGCAACTCAGCGAGACCTTGTCTCCAAATAAAATACATAAAAGGTCTGAGGATACGGCCCAGTGGTTAAGCGCCGCTGGGTTTGATCCCTGGTACCAAAAAGAAAACAAAAACAAAAATAACGCAGCATCCCTCTCTGCATGTAAGAAATAACTGTAAGGTAATTGTATGTGACAGAAAACTAACCTGTTTATCCTCCACTCTTCCAATTTGAATCCTGTAGCTTGGCTCCACAGGGGTCCCAGCTCCACCTCCACTCTATGTTGTCCCTTCTCAAAATGGCAAGATAGTTACCCAGATCATTAGGCTTTGGGAGGCTCCACTATGAAAAGGTTCATAAGGGACAGAACATGGGGCCTGGCCTAGGGCAGGGCTCAGGGGTGTTAGTTCTCCTCTCTCCACTGCGCTCCTGCTTAATCCAGGGTCAAATCTAGCAGCAGCAGGACGTGAAAAGATGACATCCTTGGAGGAGAAAATCACAATGAAAGAGAAAGAGTGAGTGAGGCGAGAGCAGGTGCAGAACAGCGGTTAAGAGCAAGACCCTCTGCACCAGGCTGCCTGGGTCACCCCCAAGGTCTCTACCAGATCTCCCTGTGTCCCCGCTTTTTTTTTTTTTTTTGGTACTGGGGATTGAACTCAGGGGCACTCAACCACTGAGCCACATCCCCAGCCCTATTTTGTATTTTATTTAGAGACAGGGTCTCACTGAGTTGCTTAGGGCCTCGTCATTGCTGAGGCTGGCTTGGAACTCGCAATCCTCCTGCGTCAGCCTCCCGAGCTGCTGGGATTACAGGCGTGCACCACCGCGCCCGGCTCCTCACTGTTTTTCATAGAGAAACAGACACTAGGAGAGGACGAACGATGAGGAGTTTCTTTCTTTCATTACGGTGGGGTAAAGGAGTATGCCCTGAAGCATCCCAGCTACTCACATGCACAGGTGTGTGCACAAACAGTCCCCATTTTGGAACTGGTCTGGGAGTCAACACAGATGCCACCAATGCAGAATCTGAGTGTTCCTTTCTGCAGTTCCAGAAAGGAACTGGTTGTGTCATCCTCGGGGTACAGCTGCTTGTAGAGCTGGCACGCAGATGTGTAGGCTGGCTGGAATTGCCAGCCTGTACTCTGAAATCTGGCTCTACAGGTATCTAGCAATGTACCCACCACCTGACATCTTTCAGGCTAAGGAGAACTGGGCAAAGAGAGAGGAATGGAGAAGAGCATCCTAGGCTGAAGACACGCCATGTGAAAATGGCCCGAGGCAGTGAGTTTGCTGCATATGTGGAACAGAGAAACAGTCATTTTAATAATTTTCTCTGTATTCCCCCAAGTCTCTGCTGCAATGCTAAACATATAGTAATGTGTTCAAGAATTATATGATTGATTGGATTCAAGATAACTACAAAATCATCTCTCTTATGGGTCTTTGCTGCTTACTCTGTGCCCCAACCTTGACCTTCCCTGTAGGATTGGAGACTAGCTACCACCCCCATCAGTTCTCCCTCAGCGGACCCCTCCTCCTAGGGTGATCCTTGATCCCTTTGTCCTGTGTCCTCTGGCTAGGTTCTGTCAACAGGAGGTGAGAGGACTGGAGGGAAATTCCACCCATTTCCTCCCAATGTCCTTCCTGCACTGGGTCCTGTTTTCTGGAGGTGACTTCATCCTTTCTGTAACACAGCTCCTGCCAGAGGGCCCTACCTCCATGGCTCCAGGCTCCAGAGCATAAATGAGAAAGGATTGAGAAATAAATGATTAGCACTTGGCAACATCTAGTGAATGTAAATCACATATAAACCATGATCAAAGTCTGCTAACATCAAAAAAGAGATAAAATAAGATGGTTGTCCATCATATCACCCATGAACTAGTCTTGCCAAAAAGAAAGGAGGAGGAGGAGGAGAGGGAAAAGAACTTGTATCTAACCAAGCCTTTAGTTCTACCACCAACTGATAGGATATGGAGGAGATGAATGGTTCTGGTCACCACAGGTATACAGTCAACAAGATCCAGCCTCTGCAAGCTCTGAAGAACAGTTTGGTTTCAGAACAATTGGCAGGGAAGGGGAAGAAGGATGAGGGAGAACCGACATATTAAAAGAATCTTAACAGAGCAACAACCAGGAATATATGTTCTTTATTTGGATCTTGATGGAACCAACCAAACGGTTAAAAATTGTAAGAAGCTGGGCTCAGTGGCACATGCATATAATCTCAGCGGCTGGGGAGGCTGAGGCAGGAGGATCACAAGTTCAAAGCCAGCTTCAGCAATGGCGAGGCACTGAGCAACTCAGTGAGACCCTGTCTCTAAATAAAATACCAAATAGGGCTGGGGATGTGGCTCAGTGGTTGAGTGCCCCTGAGTTCAATCCCCAAGTACCAAAAAATAAATAAAAATAAAATTATAATATAATTGGGGGTTTTAACGGACTTGATACTTTATGAAATCAAGTACTTCTGATTAATTTTGCAAGTGTGATGATGGCAAGATAGTTTACTCTTTAAGGAGTTCTTGTAAGGATAAACTACTGAATATAGTTACCATACCAAATTATTTACAGCGTGTGTGTGTGTGTGTGTGCGTGTGTGTGTGTATGTGTGTGTGCATGTGCAGATGAGTATTTCATATTGAGTTATTTCCAGATGAAATTAAATGATGTTTGGGTTTGTGTTTAAAATGCAGGGTAAGGAAGATGTGGGAAATAAGATCATCCATGAGCTGTTAAAGCTGAGGGTGGGAGCAGAAGTAGATAGAAGAGAATTCACTATTGCTAGCCTCTACTTTTTTATGTTCTTGAAATATTGGGTAATAAAGGATATTTTTAAAATGTTATCTTGGGAGAAAAAAGAGTACCATTTCCCTTCCTCCTCACTACCTCTGTACAATCCAAGTTCCATCCATTTCTTCTTCATGTATTTTAAGGCTATGTTATGAGGTATATGAGGTTTAGAATGGTAATATCTTTTTGCTGAAGCAAACCTTTTCATTAGGCAATGAGTCTCTTTATCTCTGACAATGTTCTTTTGATCAAAAGCCTTTTTACCAACTATTTATATTATCACATTTACTTTATTTTTATAAATATTTTCCTTACATATCTTTTTTTTAAGTCTTCTTTGTTCTTGCAACTTAGATGTATCTTGTTTTTTCTTTGTTTGTTTGTTTGTTTGTTTTTTTTGTACCAGAACTTGAACCCAGGGGCACTTAACCCCTGAACAACATCCCCATCTCTTTTAATTTCTCTCTCTCTCTCTCTCTCTCTCTCTCTCTCTCTCTCTCTCTCTTTCTTTCATCAGGGTTTTGCTAAGTTGCTTAGGGCCTTCCTAAGTTGCTGAGGCTGGCCTCGAACTTGTCATCCTAGTGCCTTAACCTCCTGAGTCGCTGGATAACCCATGTGCGCCACCAGCGTTTTAAACAGCATGTACTTGCATTGGAGTTTTTCCAACTGGACATTTTTAGACATTAATTGCCAGATTTATTCCTTTTATATTTATTTTAAATGATGTGTTTCTACCACCTAAGAGTATTTAATTTCATTTCCTTCTTTCTCTATTTTTTGTTCTTATTTTTTCCATCAATATCCATGTCTCCCTAATAAAATGAATTCCAGAATTTCTTCTCTTATGTTTGCTATTTTATCTTTTCTATTTTCTTTGGGTTTATTATTTTACAGAGAAGCTCCCAATTTTGATCAAGTCTGATTTATCCAAAACATTATTTTTCTTTTATGGAGTTTGATTTTGGTGTTGTATCTAAGAAGTCTTTGTCTATCTTAAGGTCACAAAGATTATCTTCCATGTTGTATTTCTAGAATATTTAAGGTTGTTAAGTCTTACATTTAGGTTAATAATTCATTTTTATTTTTTCCCCATTGCTGGAGATCAAATCCAGGCCTTGCAGGCACTCTACCCCTGAGCTACACCCCAGCCCCTTAACTTTTTAATATAACATGAGGTGTGGATTGAAGTTCACTTTTTGTATATGGATATACTGAGGTTCCAACACCATTCATTGAAAAAATTATCCTTTCTCCACTGCATTTCCTTGCACATTTTTTGAAAATCAATTACTCATAAACATATGGGTCTATTTATATTCCATTTCTCATTTGTGTGGTCATTATCTTAATTATTTAACTTTACAATAATAGTCAGGTAATATAAGTCTTAACACCTTTTCTTTTTAAAGTTGTTTTTGCTATTCTATGTACTTTGCACATCCATATTAATTTTAGAAGCAGCCTGTCAATTTCTATTATTTAAAGAAGTCTGCAAGGTTTAATTTGGATGGAGTTGAACCTATAGATCAACTTGAGAAAAACTGATGTTTTCATAATATATAGTTTTTGAGAGATGAACATGATATATTTTACCCTTTATTCTGGTCTACTGTAATTGGTTTACAGTTTTCAGAATAAAGTTCTTATACATCTTTTGTCAAACTTATACCTATTTCATATTTTTGTCATTACTTGATTTACTAAAATTTCAATTTTTGATCATTTCTTTGAATGGTAGGCTATTTAGAGTTGTGTTCTTTAGTTTCAAATACCTAGGGGATTTTCCAGATGGCTTTCTCTTACTGATTCTAACTTAATTATTGTGGTCAAAGAGCATTGTATGAATTGAATTATTTTAACTTTATTAAGACTTGTTATATGGCCCAGAATATTTTACACTCATAAATATTCCACGTCCATTTGAAGAGAAAATGTGTGTGCTGCTGCTATTGGGGGATTGTTTTATAAATGTCAATCATGTCAAGTTGGTTGATAACAGCGTTTGAATGTTCTGTATCCTTATTGGGTTCTTTGCTATTTTTTTATTGACTGTTGAAACATGAGTATTCAAATCTCTGACTATAATTGTGGATGGGCCTATTCTTGAAGTTCTGTCACATTTTGCTTCATTTATTTTGAATCCCTGTTATTGGGTACTCTCGCCCACGACCAACGCAGACAAGACGACTGGGTTTAAAAGAGCTGGCTGCAACATTAAACTATGAAAGTGGAGAAAAATCACACAACACAGACATAAGTTTTTCAGATGGAGGGAGGGATGGCTCTGCAACCTTAAGGGTCAGCTTCCACACTGGAAAGAGCACTGGAAATAAAGAGTGTGAGCCCAAGATCCCTTTATTTTATAGGTGGGTGCATCCGAGGGGGATATGGTTTTAAGGGTGGAGTCTTGCTTAGGGATGTCTGGTGGGCAGCAGACTGATTGACATCTTGGTGAGTCACACCCATCTCAGGTGCTGTGTGGGATCTTAGGCAGAGCTGGAGGGGGAGGCGCACCCACATCATGCCATCAATCCCTTGACAGGGAGTTCACAGTGCCAGGCCTGTCCCCTCCAGAGGCTACTATGCACAACACAATCCACACACAGCCCATGGACGGCTCGTGACAGGGTACATAAATGGTGAGGATATTTATGTTCTCTTGGCAAATTAACCCCTTTATTAGGAAACAAACTTCTCTCTGATATTATTCTTTGCTTGAAATCTATTCTGTCTGATATTAATAAAACCACTACAGATTTCTTGCATTAGGGTTGACATGATATTTTCCCATCCTTTATCTTAAAACTTACTAGTCTTTAAAGTGGATGTCTTTGTTTTTCAGTATGATTCATTTTTATTTTATTTTTTATTTGTTCTAATTAGTTATACATGATAGCAGAATGCATTTCAATCATTGTACACAAATGGAGCACAACTTTTCATTTCTCCGGTTGTACATGATATAGAGTCGCACCACATGTGCAGCCACATATGTACCTAGGGTAATAATGTTCAACTCATTCCACCATCGTTCCTGCCCCCATGTCCCCTCCCCTTCCCTCTCTCCCCTTTGCCCAATCAAAGTTCATCCATTCACACCCTCCATCCCCTATGGGTCTGCATCCACTTATCAGAGAGAACATTCGGCCTGTTTTGGGATTGGCTAACTTCACTTAGCATGATATTCTCCAAGTCCATCCATTTACCTGTAAATGCCATAATTCTATTCTCTTTTAATGCTGAGTAATATTCCATTGTGTATATGTACCACAGTTTCTTTATCCATTCATCTGTTGAAGGGCATCTAGGTTGGTTCCACAGTTTAGCTATTGTGAACTGAGCTGCTATGAACATTGTTGTGGCGGTGTCACTATAGTATGCTGATTTTAAGTCCTTTGGGTAAAGACAGAGGAGTGGGATAGCTGGGTCAAATGGTGGTTCCATTCCAAATTTTCTGGGGAAACTCCATACTTCTTTCCATAGTGGTTGCACCAATTTGCAGTGCCACCAGCAATGTATGAGTGTACGTTTTTCTCCACATCCTTGCCAACATTTATTATTGCTTGTATTCCTTGATAATTGTCATTCTGACTGGAGTAAGATGAAATCTTAGGGTAGTTTTGGTTTGCATTTCTCTAATTACTAGAGAAGTTGAACATTTAAAGTGGGTTTCTTGTAGGCAACACAGATTTGGATATGACTTTTTTAATATCCAATTTGGCAATCTTTACATTTTAATTGGATTGCTTATAACGTTAACATTCATTGGAATGATTTACGTCTACTATCTTGCTATTTGTCTTCTATTGTCTTCTATTTCTATTTCTTTCATCTGTTCTTTATCTCGTCTCTCTCTCTCTCTTTAGGTCTTCTTTTGAATTAACTGGATACTTTTTGTGATTTTATTTTAGCAACGCCCCTCTCCCCCCCCACACACACATAGGGTCTCACTGTGCTGCCAAGCTGGTTTTAAATACCTGGTTCAAGTGGCCCTCCGACCTCAGCCTCCCAAATTCTGGAACAACAGAGGTGTGCCACCACACCCAGCTAATCTGTTAAGCTTTTTAGCTACAGCTATTTGTTATTTTGGTGGTTGCTTTAGGATTTACAGTATCTACCCTTCCCTTATCTCAGTCTACCTTCAGGAGATACTTCATCGGGCCCCAGGTAGTATATAAAACCTTACTCTGGCAAATTCCCATTTCTCCCCTCCAGGTCTTTGGGCTATTATACAAGGTACAGTTTTGCCTTCGCAAATATTATAAGCCCCACGTTACATCACTAACAGCTTTGTTCTCAACAGTCAATGAGCTTTTCAAGAGATTTAAACAATAAGGAAAGGGTCACTGGCCTGTCCCAGGGAGCTGCTTTTCAGGTGCTCGTCATTCCACTGTGTAGCCCCAGATTTCTGTTTGGTGGCATTTTCCTTCTGCTTGAAGGACCTTCCTTTCCTTCTGTCCAAAGGACTTCACTGCGTGACTAACGTGGCATGTAGACAGTCTACTGCCGAAGTTGTCTTCAGTAGTATGGGCTCACTCAGTTGCCAAGGCTTGGCCTTAAACTTTTGATCCTCCTTCCTCAGCCTCCCAAGTCACTGGGATTACAGGTGTGTGCCACCACACCGGGCTCTGAGTCTGTTTTTGAAGAATAGCTTTGCTGTGCCAAGAATTCCAGATGGACAGAGTTTCTTGCTCCTGCACATTGTGTTTTCAAAGGAAAATTTCAGAGGACCTAGATTAAAATCCTGGGAACAGAAAGTCCGTTCACTTTCACTTGTGTACTAGATGTTTAAATCTTCAGGTCTGAGTTCCTTGCGGTGGTGCACACCTGTCATCTCAGCAGCTCAGGAGGCTGAGGCAGGAGGATGGCAAGTTCAAGGCCAGTCTCAGCAACTCAGTAAGGCCCTAAGCAACTTAGCAAGATCCTGTCTCAAAAGATAAAAAGGACTGGGAAGGTAGTTCACATTACATTACATCACTAGGTAAAGTGCCTCTAGGTTCAAACCCAAGGGCCTAAATAAATAAATAAATAACTCTGCAGGTCCTCTGCATGCCCTTTGAACTCCCCACCACACACTCCATTGCAGGGGGTAAAGGGAAGGCAGCAACCCGCCATCCATAGCCATGGAGATGAATGCCAGGCTGTGTGTGTTTTGTTTCTATTTTCAGGCTTAGAGAAGAATGGAAGCAGAGGCTGGAAACAAAGCTGAGGCTACGGAACAATCCAGACGAGACTGAAAGGCGGGCAAATGTTGGCTGAGAGCTTCCTGCTCCACTGACCACAGAGGACACAAAGCACTGAGGTCACGCTGCTGGAAGTCAACTCAAATCCCCAAGTCCCTTTGCCTTGCCGGTTGGATCCCTGCAAGGGGGTTCCCTGCCAATCCTCTCCCAATGCGCATGCGCCTCATTTGCCGAGTCAGTCTTCTCCGTGTCGGGGGCAAGTTTTTATTCCAAGTGGCTCTGAAGATGAGCTTATTTATAATCAAGGCTCCGGGAAGCATTCTTAACTTTTACATAATTATCTTCTAATTTAAAAAAAAAAAAAACCACCTATTTCAACTTCTTAGCTTCCCAGAAAGGGTTTCCAACCTTCATGGTCAGAGTATAAACATGGTCCAGGGGCTGGGGAGACAGCTTAGTTGGTAGAGTGCTTGTCTCACACACCAAAAATAAATAAATAAATAAATAGAAATGGCACAGGAGTTTCACTCCACCATCCTGCCTAGGAAACCATTGTTTCAGGTAATCCTTTCTCTTGTTCTCTTTCGATGCAAAGAGAAATCGCACCTCTCTGCAGAAATAAAGATAATTTCAATAGTCATAAATAAGGTTTGAAAATACATTGATCTTTGTATGAATTTGTTTTCAAGAAAATATGTCTCTCAATACTATCAGGATTGTTTTAATATAATTCAGTGTCTTGGTGTCCCCAGTGTATGCATTTCATCCACGGCTTTAATTAAATGCATGTGTTTGCAGCGGTGAGCTCTCTATCAGCTCAGACAGTGTCTAGCCATCCCAATAGAGGGCGTACCACACAGCTTCTGGACTTTGAAATGTCACTGTCACTCCCTAGCCGTCTCTCAGGTCTAGAAGCATCAGTGCCAATGGCAGCTGGGTCTGGGAAACAATCTCTACCCAAGGGAAGGGGACAGAGAGAGGCATGGTAGGCACTTCTGGATATTGCCAGTTGTGCGTGGTCCCTCAGGCCTTATGAACACAGGGGCAATGTGACTAGTGCTACCAGGAGCTCCTCTGGTTTGCTTTACGTAGAAATTCCAACTTAATCCTCACCCAAACACATATGCAAGCATTGTTACCATGACACATTTTTTTAAATAGGTGAGTATAATGATGCTTTAAAAAGTTTTGTAAGATAACCACAGAATGAATTAGTGAAAGAGCCAGGATTCAAAGTCAGTTCTAACTACAAAGCCGGTTCCCATCCAAATCATGATACCAGCAAATTAATGCCCATAAGTCCTTGTTTCAAAAGATTTGTGCTCAGCAGTAGTGTTTTCTCATTAAATATAAAAATATACATGTGGGTGAGGTGGCCCACACCTATATAGTCCCAGCAGCTTGGAAGATTGAGACAGGAGGATGTGAATTCAAAGTCGGCCTCAGCAACTTAGTAAGGCCCTAAGCAACTCAGCGAGACTCTATCTCTAAATAAAATATAACAAAGGGCTGGGGATGTGGCTCAGTGGTTAAGAGTACATGGGTTCAACTCCCAGTAACAACAACAAAAAAAATCTACATGCAAAATGCACGTTTACACACTGAGAACCTATTAATATCTGTAAATTTTGAGCCGAAGAGTCGCAGAATTGCTAGCTGCTCATTCTGAAGGTCTATATCAGTGCTGTAGGAGATGTCATTAGGTCTCAACTGAACAAAGAATGGGGCACAGTAAAATGTTAGCAAGTATAAGCCCTTTTTCAAATCAAAGAATCCTGGCTCCCTACTCATCTCCCTCATGTCCTGCCTCTCACTTTCCATTTCTCACTTTCACTGGATTATTTGTAGAAGGTGGTGTACCTAGATGGTGTAAACGGGATTGAAAATAACTGAATAGATTGCTAAGCTTCTAAGAATGACAAATTTTTGGAGTTAAACAAAGGGACCGCAAATAAGGACACTTTGAAAGCTGATCCTGCACTTTATCAAGATCAGAGTGGTTTTTTTTTCCCCTCTAAAAATGCTTTACCAGAAGTTTCTACACCCAGCCCCAACTTCTTCCAACCCCTAATCTCATTATCTCAATAAAAATGTACACTCATCGAGTTACTCAGGTGAAAATCTAGTCATCCCCAAACTCTTCTCTCTCTCTCCTGAACCTCTCACAAGTACTTCTGCCAGTTTCAAAATGTCAACGATGCCTTCTCAACATTGTAAGGTTTACAATCTAAACCTCTGTGCCCTGGTTCAAGGGTGACAGTGATTCGAACACAATTAAATTCATCATCTTTAGTATAAATACTGTTTATAAGTCAAACTCAGTGTCTCCTATCTTCTGGAAGGTGACTTCCTCTGCCCCCAGGAGTTAGGTAGTTTACTCAGAAGAGGTGTAAGAACTGGAGACTAGGAAGGGCCACTCAGGAGACCTCATGGAAGTGGTGCTTTTTGAATAGAGAGCTTTATGGAGAAGGAATTCTATTCCCAGGTCATTGCATGAACATTCTAGAACTCTACTTCCACAGTTCACTGTTTAGATATTATGGAAATGGATGTGTCAGCGCCTGTCTGATCTTCTAGGTGGGGAGAGGCACTTGGCAGAACCCTTCTGGTTTCCAGAGCAAAGTACATGACTCCACCAAGTCAGCCTCAGAGAGAAAGATGAAAGCATGGCCAAGGGCATGGGGAGTGGGAAGGAGAGGCTTTGGATTAAAAAGCCCATTTCCATGGGGGAAGGTTTTATTATGGATGTGCTGACAGGTGAGACAATTTATTAGTGTAAAATATTTTGAAATATTCAAGCAGGCTCTATTTTGCTTCCAGGAAGAATGTGCATTGAAAATACTTTTATTTGTTGGTATATTTGGTAACAAATGTTTTAGATGTTTTTATTTTATTTCAATTCCCTTTTTGTGTGTGTGGCATTGTGGATTGAAACCAGTCGCATTCTACCACTGAGCCACATTCCCCTCCCTTTTGTAGTTTTGTTTTGAGACAGGGTCTCATTAAGTTGCTGAAGGTGGCCTTGAACTTGTGATCCTCCTGCCTCAGCCTCCCGAGTACCTGGGATTACAGGCAGGCATCACCATACTCAGTCATTTTGGGGTTTTTTTGTATAGTACATAAACACTAGAACAATGAAATTACTCTTCCGGACTGATAACCTCAAGTTAAATTGTCATATCCACCTAGGTACAGGCATCACCTCCAGTTCTATTCTTTTCTAAGAATTTCGCAGGATTGGCTTGTTCAGGTCTAAAAAGAACCTTAGAGGATGAATGAGGCCTGGAAGCCCAGCTCTCAGTCCATCCTGCCTCATTGACTTGGTGTCCTCTTGGGGATCTGAGTCGTCCCAGCTGTTGCCCCAGGAAACCTGGCTGCCCTGGAGAGGAACCGACACTGCTTCCTTTTATCTCATCAGATAAAGCACCTAGAGGGGGTAACAGTCAGCTTCGGGAGATCTTGTAACGATGCACTGGCCATGAAATAAGGGCTTCAGGTACATGGTGAGGCCGAGGGAAAGGGCAGACAACTTAGGGCAGGGCTGCGAGGGCCAGGAAGGTTGCATCTCAGGGACTCAGAGGATGAAATTGGGAGCAAGAAACATTGGCTGCCTTGGCATCCGGTCCAGCCCTAGGGACTGGAACAACACTCATGTGCCAGAACACAAAACTTCTCTGTTGGGCAGATGAATAGAGAGAGGGCTTGCCTACAGCACAGGCCCACTGCTTCCTGAGCAGTTCCCAGGAACCCCATTCAAAGTAGGCCAAGGAGACAGGGCCGCACGGCTCTAGGCATGTTTCCTCCTCCCTGAGCAGAGAGCCAGCTTAGCTTTCTGAATCAGTCAACATGAAACAGGGGGGTCAGTGGCTGAGCTTTAGAGGCCCTTCTACAAGGCCACTTCCCGAGAGGAAACTCCCACCATAACAGCCTGAATGAGGGGCGTTACAGGGCCGGGTGCTTCTGGAACCCTAAACAAGACTGCCCATCCAGCTGTGCCTTGAGCTGCAGACGCACTGCCACATCTCTGCCTGTAGTTGCCCCCTGACAAATAGAACTTATGCCCTGGGGTGGCTGGGATGATGGCTGGTCCCTGCCCCATCTTCACAGTTGGCTCCATCCAAACCTTCCCTGGACCCAGAAGCTATTTTTGAGGACAGCTCCTGAGGCCACAGGGAACGTAAAGCAGGAAGTCAGTTGGCTACAAAAGAAGGCAGAGAGGAAACTGGGGAAAGGCGAGCCACAGAGAGGAGAGAGAGAGAGCTTTCTGGAAAGCAGGTCTGCACCAGGTTTAGAAGAATTCACTTCTGTGTGTGTGAGTGTGTGTGTGTGTGTGTGTGTGTGTGTGTGTGTGTGTGTGTGTGTGTGTTTGGTGCTGAGGATCGAACTCAGGGCCTCACGCATGCCAGATAAGCAAGCACTCTACCACTGAGCGACATCCCCAGCCTAGAAGGGTTCACTCTTGATCATGGTTGTCTCTGTCAGGGGCCAGTCAGGTGTAGAAGAAAGAGAAGGTAGGGTGTACCGTCTTTCAAGTCTGTAAGTAAACCTGCCCTTTCTAGGAACTGAGATTCTATCTCTTTTGAGGTTGTTCCTCTCATGCCAACATCCTTGGAAACATAGTCTGGAACATAGGCAGTGAGTGTCTCTGCTTACGGGAGGCACAGAAATGCTGGAGACCCATGAAAATGTCTCCTAACAGTATCCACCCCTTGTTTGCACTGTCTTGGCTTCTGGTGAATTTCCCCTGAGGCCCCTCAGATGTATCTGGCTGGCAGGCCAGGATCACATTCATTTAGTTTGACTGGTAAGTCAGCTATGAACAGGATCTCAAGCAGAAGGATCAAGCCAACCTGTCTGTAGCTATGTCCTCCTGGGTCCTTGATCAGGGTCCCTGCTCTGACTGAAAGGGTAAAGTTTCTAAGGTGCAAAGCCTGAGTTAAAATGTAAAGGACTAGGTATTGTAAAGTTTCTGAACTGCACACAGAACCTGAAATTCCTGGGGCAGTTAAGACAATGCCCCACTGACCACTTAGTTGTTTAATAACCTAGGACCCAGTGCAGTTTGGCACGTAAGCATTCAGGGCCCAAACCAATCAGTTTGAATGTGTACCCCGCTTAGGAGTGACCAATCGCCCCCGCCCGACCTGTTCCCGACAATGAATGTACTAATCAAGTTTAAGAATTGTTGTTTGATTTTCCCGCGCCTCATGATGATTTGTTCTGATGTATGCAAAGCCCCCGCCCTCCCCAAAAAGTGTACTTAAGCACTGCTTAACCTCTGCTCTGGGCTCTGGGCTGCTCTCCCTTCTTGAGTGAGCACAGAGCCC